AGGGGAAAAAAAAAAAAACAAAAAAAAACAGCCCCATGGTTGGGCCACGGCCGAGATGTCTCGGCCACACCCCAGACTGGCCACGGCCGAGATGTCTCGGCCACACCCCGGACTGGCCACGGCCGAGATGTCTCGACCACACCCCAGATTGGCCACGGCCAAGATGTCTCGGCCACAGCCGAGATTCGCAGGCACTACCCTTCACAGGCAAACGCGAAGTCTCAAGAGTAGCCTACTCCGAAGAAGTGGGGGGCTCGGGGCAGGGATGGAGGCCAAAAAAAAAAAAAAGTAAAAAAAAAAGTAAAGAAAAGAGGAACTTCGAATCCACCTACTTCGGGAAGGCCCTCAAGTCACCGGTGCTTTGAGGAATGTATCTGGCCAGGAAGCGAGGAACATGAAACAAGTCGATTTCCTTTTTCTTTTCTTGTTGTGAGGTCCCTGTTTCAGGTCACCGGTGCTTTGAGGAATGTATCTGGCCAGGAAGTGAGGAACATGAAACAGGTCGATTTCCTTTTTTTTTTCTTGTTGTGAGGTCCCTGTAGCGCCCTGCCAGCCAGGCAGGGCGTCCACGCTTCATTGAGTTCTAGACAAGTACTGTAGCATCCTGTATCGGACGGCAATCACAGCATAAGGGATGTTTTTTTTTTTTTTTTTTTATCTGCTGTTCGTGGATAGACGAGGGCCCTGACTGAACTGCATAGGGCCGAGTTTCAACTGCAATTGAAACTCGGGCCGAGCTTCAACTGCAATTCAAACTCGGGCCCTGACTAAACTGCTAAAACGCAGTTTCGAATGCAATTACAAACTGTTTTGGTGACAAAAGCAGCCGGGAACCGGGCCCGGCGTCCCTTATATTTCAATAAGCCAGGAAACGGGCCTGGCATTCCTCACAAAAAGTAGATGGCCCCATCGAAGGGCGAAACATCACCCGTCAAGCCCTAAGATTGGACCACTATGCCACTGCAAACCCTAAGATCCGTGAAAAATACTAACAAATAGCTGCAAACCCCGATCATTCAACCCTAATACTGTTTCAACACACGGCAGGTTCGATAACAACATCTAGTTTCTATAGGCCAACAAAATCAACAATCCCACAAACCTCATTCCCCGTAGCTGCAAAAGTCAGGTGTCCAACCCTAGTTTCCACCAACCATAAACTGGCAATCAACTACAACATTTCAATCCCACAATCTAACTATTTTCGTTACATAACGATGTTTGTCGTCCGAGGCAACCACAATTTCTACAATAGTTCAAAACATAATTCCTATTGTCTGCAAAGAATACAAAAGGCAGCAGACGTAGAACAAGCCCTAGTTTCAACACAAAATACTAGGAAATTACTATTTCTATCACCAAACCTACAAAATCATATTCTTCGTATCTGCAATCCCACAAACCAAATTTCCATTAGCTGCAAACCCCGATCGTCCAACCCTAGTTTCCACAGTTTCATCCATTCGACAAATTCAATAATAGCAGCTAGTTTCTATAATCCAACAAAATCAACAAAGCAGCATCTCCATATTAAAGACCGAAGGACTAAGCCCTCGATCGGTTCCATCAGGTGTGAATCAGTTATAAACCAGCTGAAACTCTGGCAAATCGCAATGCTCAGATCCCGCCCGTCGAACGTCCACACATCTCCTACCATCCTTCCTCGTTCGAACAGGATTACTAACCCCAGTCAGCTGGGACTGGCCCATGGCAAGGGCTCTTCAGACCCTCTTGCAGCTTGTCCCTCTTAGTGCCCACACACTCAATCCCCCACACTCCCACCACCCCAGCAACAAGCTCTGGCTAGGCACCACCATCTTCTTGACAGCACCCGTGCGATCCCCCGTTGCCCAAGCACCGCCCCCGACGGCGCTGACACTGAGACAGTGCAGCGACGTCAACCAAAATTTGTAGAACGGGCGCCTCGCGCCCAACGCCCCGGCCAGCTTACGCAGCGCTGCCCTAGCGCAGCGTTAACACACGCCACAGCTGAAGAAGATTAGCATGGCCCCTGCGCAAGGATGACACGCAAAAGTCGAGAAATGGTCCAGATAAAAAAAAAAAAAAAAAAAAAAAAAAAAGATAACTCTTGCGGATTTCTTGAGCTGTTTCTGACAGCTCTATAATGTTTTCAAGAGGGCCCATTTCTTGAGTAGGTGCGGCGGTGCTGCACTCTTGGTTTTGCATGAGTATAGCGTAGTGCAGCGAGACCCATGCTGTGTGGCGAAGAGGGTTTTTCTGTCGAAAGAGGGAATGTCGAAAATTTCCTGACATATGTCGAATTTCGTGATGTTCCGACATTGGTGTGGCGAGGCCCTAAGAGGCTCGCCACACAGGCTGTCGAAAACCTGGGTTTTTCGACAATTTTGCATCGCCACACAGACTTTCGAAGAATTGCAGCTCAAAAAACTTTCCACAGGTGTCAGAATGGTACTTTCGATAGCCGCCCTCCAGCAACCATTTCCTCCTGCCTGCAGGTAACGGAAATTCTACGGTGCCCGCCGACCTTTCGAAAATTGCATTCGAATTTACGTTGTCAGGGTCAAATTTGCTTTGTCCGGGACTGTTCCGTCACTGTCGTTCGCCTGGTCATGAACAAAAACCTTGCCCCTGCCCCTTGACAGCCGGTGTGGCGAACGGGGGGTAAACTGTAGACCACGGACTTTCAATTTTTTTCTGACACCAGACAGCCTGTGTGGCGAGCCTCTAACTTTCTGGAGAGTGCACGGCTTCACCTCTAACTTTCTGGAGAGTGCACGGCTTCACGGCTTCACGAGTAGACATCAGGTAGACAAAAAATTTTAACTTTTCTGTAGAACAAATATAGTGCAGAGTAAGGGCATACTCACACTAGCGGTTTTTTTTGCTAAATGGCAAAATCTGCTATGCTGTTAGAGTCACACTAGGGTTTTCCTACCACCAAAATTGAAAACGGGGTAGCATTTGTCAGCGGCCTGGGGGGCCACGGGGATGGGCATTTTGCCACCACCTCGAGAGGTGGTGGCAAATTCTCTTTTGGCCATCTGCAAGTTCTCTTTAGCCTTTTGGGAATAGTTAAAAAAAAAAAAACATGATAGGCAACAATTTTGCAATTGCCAGAGAGTCCCGCTCGTGTCCTTTGTGATTTGCAACCCATGTGTGACCGGGCGGGGTACTATTTCAGCAAACACGGGAAAGAAAATTCAGCAGATTTTGCTAGATTGCCACCGCTATGTGAGTACGCCCTAAGTGCAACCAGGCCTGGAGTTCGACACGATTTTCATTTTTGTCACTCTCCACGCATCCGCCAGGAATTGTGACGGAAGGCGAGTAGTGCAACGAGGGGCCTCGCCGAGGAGCTGCGAAATCTCACGAGTGTGCTGCATAACTACTCTCGCCAGGGGGTCTTCGCTAGAGTTTTCGTGTGTGCTGTGGGCTGGGGCGGTAAAAAACGAGGCGAAACGGTGGATAAGGGCTTCGCGAGGCCTCGCGAGGCCTCGCGACTCTGCTGGTCGTTTCGTTTCGTAGTTGTGCCGTCCGGCGAGGCCCTACAGTAGGCCGTGTGGCGCTAAAGTAACCCCAGTTTTTGACAGTGGTGTGGCCAGTCACTTTCCACCTCCCAAAGCGCATTCAACGCAAGCCTGTGAGAGCGAAATATGAGGGACAAACCTCAGAGAGATCCCCAGAGAGATCCTGTGTGCAGTGCGAGAGGAACTACGCAAAGGTTAGAGGATATCTGAACCAAGCAGCGGCTCACAGAGACGAAGAGAGAGAGAGAGAGAGAGAGAGAGAGAGAGAGAGAGAGAGAGAGAGAGAGAGAGGTGAAAAGGAGAAAAGAAGAGGAAGAGGAAGTGGCAGGAGAAAATGATGAAGACGATAATCCCATGAAACCCAATGCAGCACAATTAGACTAACATGAGGTCGTCACTTATCTCAGTGCCATCTGCAGTCTGCAGACTGCCGTCTGTACTTCATCTCGGCCGTCGTGTATGTCTGGAAGGATTGTCTTCTGTAGGTTAGTGTTAAGGCTGCAGCGAATCTGAAGCGCGCGCCAACGTTCTGACACTTAAGATATGGAGCGTCGTGCGGGCGGTAATGGGATCTGCTCTGACTCTCGCCGCCAGATACTCTCCGGTTCCTTTCTGTTGGTGATTTGCGTGTGCGGCTGGATGTGGTTCAAATCTGAACTACAGATCGATGGCTCATGTCTATTGTTCTCCTCCATGGCGACTGCATCATCGCCTTCACGCTCGAATCGCGCTTCCGCGGAGCAGCAGACCGAGTGGGGCTCGTCGTTGTCATCGTCCTCACATATGCTGAGGCATACTGTCGTTTTCCTGCGCAAGCGCAGCGACCGGTTGAAGGGGATGGAGGTGGCGCAGCAGCAGCCGCACCAGCAGCAGGAGGCTGCGAAGGAGGAGGAGGAGGAGAGGAAGGAGAAGGAAGTGGAGAAGGAGAAGGAGAGGAGATGGACGATCTCAAGCTCGCACCTACCCACACAGGAGAAGGAGAGGAGAATAGTGTTAGAATCCACTACTCTTCTCAATCTTGACATCTTTAACGTGTCTTTGGTTGTGCGATCGAACGTCGTTCTTGTCCATAAACCTGAGCACCCGTTCAATATTGGCATCAACGACTCGTATGGCTACGACGCTTCGACATCGGCGTCGAACTGGTGTGGAGCTGCAGTGAGAAACATTGTGTTCGGAGAGCAGGGCACAATCTTTTACTACATACTCGACGAGCGATGCCTGAGCAGCGAGTCTCCTCCACGTGTCACTCAGCGATTGGTCTCTTACAGGCGGGCGAATCTCCACCCTGTGGTGGCTGGCTCGAATTTCCTCGCTGATAGCCTGCTCATCAGTTACTGGTGGGTAGGGTTTGACGACGACGGAGCGAGACCAAGTTCATCCTCTCACACCATTCTCTCTCCCGGGAGCAACACATCGGAGCCGTTGATGGCCATGGTATACGGGATGGATCTGACGGCGTCTGGGCAACAGCTGGTGCTGAGCGAGTCAGTGAATGGCCCGCAGAAGTCGAGGATAACCCTGCTGAACACGACGGGAGGGCAGAAATTGTCTATGTCCACCGACGCGGACAACCTGCAGGGCCTGGCTCTAAGTCCGAAGAAGAACCGCATGTACGTTGCGGATCTCAAGGCAACGAAAGACGACGTCGTGCGGATATTATGTGCAGACGTGCCCGATTCCTCTGCGCCTCCACCCTCCCTCTCCTTCGACACCGTCATCAGCTTCAAATCCGGTGTGGAGCCGCAGATAGGCGACATCTCCTTCGGTGCGCAGAGTTGGGATCCCGAAGGACGATGCCTGTATTTCTTCGATTACGGAGGAAGAAGGCTATGGAGCCTCGTCGGTGCGATCGACGGCGATGGAGCCGCAGGGGGAGCAACCGTCACCCTCGTCGCAGGATCCGGCGAGGAAGGAGGAGACGATGGCAAGGCCCTCAATGCATCCTTCAACGGTCTGAAGGATATCGTGGTAACCCCGGACGGGTGCAATCTCTTCGTCTCGCAGATTGATGGCCATCTACGGTGGATCAGTATGGATTTCCCGTGCAGCGGGGCCGAGCGAGTCAGGACCATTGCCAGATATCAGGGGCAAAATGCGTCATACCGGGACAAAGGGTTCTGGGGCTTGGGATTGGCAGACGGCGGGCAGCATCTGAATCTCTACGTCGGATCCAACGATGGGCAAGTCTTCCAGCTGCAGGTCAATAAGTCGTCATTACATGCTTGCGTCGTCGCTGAGGCCTTCCGCAGTTCCCGACTTTCTTGCAACGTCGTCATCGCAATCGTACTTGGTATTGTGGGTGCGTCCTTGTTCCTCATCGGACTGCTGCTCTGTTTCTACATGAGAAGAGCACGGCGGACAAGCAAAACACACTTGCCGCCGACACAGCCCTTCGTCGAGGCTCCGACTCCGCACACTTCGCCTCCGGCGGCAGCGGATCGCGGTGAAGCTAATGTGCCGTTGTCCTCTCATCTATCAGCAGATTGGCCACCAGAGGAGAGCAGTGCCCTCCACCCTACCACCGTCCAAGAATTCTCTCTCTCGGTCTTGTCAGATATCACTGACAACTTCAGTCAGAGCTGCAGGATCGGCGACAGAGGGGCGTTCGGGGAGGTGTTCCGGGCCCAGATGGAGGGACAACACGTGGCGATGAAGGTGATGACCGGGGAACTAACCCCGGGCAAGCGAAGGCAATTCCGTGCGGAAGTCAACACTCTTAGCCGTCTTCATCACGGCAATCTCGTCGAACTGCTCGGGTATTGTCAGGAAGGAACGCACTCCATCTTGGTCTACCCCTTCTTCCCCGGAGGGAGCCTTCACGCCCGGCTGCATCATCACACAGCGGGCAGCAGAGCTTCTGCCACTTCCGGACACCCATCGCCAGATCCTCCCCTTCCTCCGCTAACGCTTGCTGAGCGGTTATCCATCACGTTGCAGATCGCAGAGGGGCTTCGATACCTTCATCATGGTGCCAACCCGCCTGTCATTCACCGTGACATCAAGAGCAGCAATGTCCTCCTCGGCGATGGCGAGGGAAACGATCTTCGAGCTGTTCTTGCCGACTTCGGCCTGGCAAGGATGATGGAGAAGATCTTCCATGAGCAGCAGGAGAGCGCGGTATCGATCTCCGATGTTGTCGGGACCTCAGGTTATATGGCGCCAGAGTACATGAGAGAAGGCAAATTGACAGAGAAGAATGATGTGTACGCGTTCGGAGTCGTCGTTTTCGAGATGCTCACGGGAAGAAGGGCGGTTGTAATCAACGCAGCTGCGCGCCAAGTGGAGTCTCTCATTGAGTGGCTGGAAACGTTCTTCCGAAATGCGAACGTCGAGCTGCCGGATGCTGTCCTCGAGGCTTGCCTGCGTGATGACGTGGCCAGCAGTTATCCCACCAAAAAGATGGTCATGGAAATGCTATGGCTGGCGCGGGAGTGCACTCAAGAGCTCGATTATCTTAGACCGTCGATGAACGCGGTAGGCGAGCGGATTTCCCACCTCCTTTCCGATGCCATAACGCGAGGAGGGGCCCGATTGACTTATTGATAGATTGATTGGCGTGCGCGCGTGAAACTCACAGAGAAAACTGTCCTCTGAGCAGCGGAAGACAGTTGTGGTGCTGACAGATTCTCTCGCGGTCTCATAGCAACGACATAATTCATCGACGCCAGGGCTAACAGATTACCACCCATTCGGCAGCAGCTCTCTCTCTCTCTCTCTCTCTCTCTCTCTCTCTCTCTCTCTCTCTCTCTCTCTCTCTCTCTCTCTCTCTCT